AAAAAAAAAAAAAAAAAAAAAAAAAGTCAAGATCATGAAAGACAAGGATAGAACGTTCCATCACAGATGGGAGGGCCCAAGGAGACAGGCAACTGTAAATGTAATGTAGCACATGGGATCCCGGAGCAGAAAAAGAACATTAATGAGAAAATGTAGACTCCAAGTGAAATCTGCAAGTTATTTAACAGTGTACCAATGCCAATGTTACTTTCTTAGTTATGATAAATGTGTCATGCTTATTTAAGCCGTAAACATTAGAGCAGTTTCCTGACCTCGGCACTACCGATAGTTTGGAGTGGATAAGTCTTTGTTGGGGGCAAGGGGCTGCCTGGTGCATTGCAGGATGTTTAGTAGCATCCCTGGCCTCTACCCACAGAAGTCAGTAGCACCCCCGGTGCCCCAAGATGTGACAACCAAAAATATATCTAGACATTGTCTAAGATCCTTCGGAGGCAAAATTACCCATAATTGAAAGCCACTGCATTAGAAGTTGGGCAAAAGGTATAGGGGAACTAACTCTCAGTACTATCTCTGCAACAATTCTGTAAACCTAAAATTTTTTCAAAATAAAAAACGTAAAGACAAAATAAAACACAAGGCCAAAAATGCAAAGAGGTAACACTGCAACTACTGGAAGAACTAAAATTATCATAACAATACCAAGTGCTGACAAAGAGATGAAATAGGAATCCACAGACATTTGTAGAAGTGCAAAATAGTACAGGCAATTTGGAAAACAGTGTGGCAATTCCTCTGAAAGTTAAAACATACACTGACCAGTCAACCCAGCAATTTCACTCTTAGGCATTTGCCCATAAGAGATGAAAACCTATGTCCACACAAAGTGGAATGAAAATGTTCATACAGGCATTCATTCACAACAGCCATGAAGTGGAAAACTCCCAGTGTTCTCTGAACTGGTGAATGCAATACAAAACACAGGATATCTGTGCATACTCAGCAATAAAAAGGAATTAGCTATTGATAACAACAGGGATGAATTTCTAATGCATTTTGCTAGGGACCAGAAGCCAGACATATAAGATTATATCCCATAGGACTGAATTTATAGGAAATTCTAGAAAAGGCAAAATATTTTGCAAACATCAGAAACAAGGTCAATGGTTGCCTGGGCCCATGGTGGTCAGGGAGGGAGGGACTGCCAGACAGCAATAGGGCAAATAAGGGCACTTGTCAGGTGATTGAAAGTTTTGAACTCCACTGTGACAATGGTTGGATGACTGTATACATTTACAAAATTCATCCAAGTGAACGATTAAAGTGGGTGAAGCTTATCGTATGCAAAATATGCCTCAATAAAAGTTCTTTAAACAAAGACACTGAGAAGGGAAAAAGTCAGGGCCAACAGCAGTGCCCTGGGGTGATCTGGTGGCCTCTGTGTCCAAGTAGAAGAACTGGAGCTACTGAGGGCTTTCTCTGATCAAGTAGAAA